GTTTCAGATAGCTTAGTATATAGCAGTGATGGCGAACCTATGACGCGTATCAGAGGTGACACGCGAACTCATTTTTTTGGTTGATTTTTCTTTGCTAAATGACATTTAAATATATAAAATAAATATCAAAAATATAAATCTTTGTTTTACAATGGTTGCAAAGATCAACAAATTTTTATATATGACACAGCACCAGAGTTAAGTTGGGGTTTTTCAAAATGCTGATACGCCAAGCTCAAAAGGTTCGCCATCGCTGGTAATAGTATAGGTTTGTTTCTCAGTCCTCTGTGAATCTCATAAAACCTGGTAAAGAACCTCTTCAGTTCATTAGACATAAGAAGAAAACAGGATTGACATTTTATTTTTTTAAAATTTTGTTTTATTGCTTAAGGTATTACAAAGAGTATTACATATGTCTCCTTTTTTTCCCCTTGACTTTCCCCCAGCCTCCCCTGCCCCCCAGTGTCTTGTGTCCATTGGTTATGCTTACATGTGTGCATACAAGTCCTTTGGTTGATCTCTTAACCCACCCCCGCAACCCTCCCTGGCCTTCCCGCTGTAGTTTGACAGTCTGTTCGATGCTGCTCTGTCTCTGTATCTATATGATTGACATCTTAAATACAGAATCTAGTTCTCAAAGTTGAGAGATAATAAAATATAATCCTTCACTGAAGGTTACTTGAATGTGGTCTGTTGCCATCTGGGAAGACTGAACTTGGACTGGTAGGTGTTCAATGTATGTTTTCATTGATTTGAGCTCTGCATTTGTATTGTCCACACAACCTTCCATAGTTTTTATGCATTTACTTCCCACTCTATCATAATAATTCTCTCCATTGAACATTGTGGTGTCTAACTAATAATTAGTTAGCATGTTTTCTATGGATGAATAAAAATAAGGACATGATTCTCCTAGGTCTTTTTTTTTTTTTTATAAAAAAAAAGCTATAGCTTGGAAAACTTCAGAGAGGTTGTATTGATTTCTTGGACAAATTATGTAAAGGAGGGATTCTAAGAACACTTGCTCCTGGAGAAGTTTTATTTCTTCCAGATCATTTGGAACTCAAACAAAGTGAAACTAGCAATTTTATCCAGGTTTCAGCAGAGCTTGATTGCTGTGTTTAGCCATAAACCAGAACAATGAAGTATACAAAACTCTTTTATGACCTATTTATTCACTGGTTCAAGCCATCTGTTTGATATTATGTGTCCGAATGTTGAGAAGGCAATAAAAGCCAAGCAAAATGGAGGAAATTAGTCCACCTTAAGAAAATGACCTTGCCAAATTGTTGCAGAATAAAATTTAGCTACAGGTAAATTACATTTCTTGTCCATAGTGGGCATATATTCTCTGCTATTCACTGTCCTTGGTCAAAAATAGATAAGCTGCAATAGCCTAAAGTGGCCCGAGCTATGAGCATTTAATTGGCTTCTCAGCCTTTCAGAATTGATATTGAGATCATTGACCTGTCTCAGCTTAAGTAAGAAAATCACTTATTGGGGCCAAGATGTAGAAATCAAAACTATTATGTTTTGATTTAATGAAGGCACTTATTATTCTCCATGGATTTCTCTGCTCTTATTGGAATCAGGACATTACCTACTATCATGACTCATTATCATATCCATCACAAGCCAGATCTTTACCCCAAGACCGACCACCTGGCAATCCAGGGGTGCATCCTGTCTCTCTGGCTTTCTAAGTAAGCTCTGTCTCTGGGTTTCTAAATAAAATAAGCACAGAGAGAAACTGACTTTGATTCTGAGCTCACAGATAAAGCATCCCTGTGTTGCTGGTGTTGTATTGTTCATTATTATGATTTCCTTTCCAGACTGCCTTCCCCCCACTCTTTTTTGTCATTCTCTTTCAATTGGATTTTGGGTACTAATTCCAGGTTCCTTATAGGATTTTGCATCCTATCCTTTCATCATATCACAAAATGACTCTCTTGAAATTAAGCTTGGCTCTGTCTCTTATTGTAGTTTATTTCTAATATTATGCCATCGTGGTCTGCAAAGATGCTTGGTATGATTTCAATCTTCTTGAATTTGGGGATACTTTGCTTGTGGCCCAATATGTGGTCTATTTTTGAATATGTCCCATGAGCACTTGAGAAGAACGTATATTCCCTGGCTTTGGGGTGAAGTGTTCTGAAGATGTCTAT